TAATCTTATCTGGCTCAACATCTGGCTCAACCCTAATCTTATCTGGCTCAACATCTGGCTCAACCCTAATCTTATCTGGCTCAACATCTGGCTCAACTTTAATCTTATCTGGCTCAACATCTGGCTCAACCCTAATCTTATCTGGCTCAACATCTGGCTCAACTTTAATCTTATCTGGCTCAACCCTAATCTTATCTGGCTCAACCCTAATCTTATCTGGCTCAACATCTGGCTCAACCCTAATCTTATCTGGCTCAACCCTAATCTTATCTGGCTCAACTTTAATCTTATCTGGCTCAACCCTAATCTTATCTGGCTCAACATCTGGCTCAACTTTAATCTTATCTGGCTCAACATCTGGCTCAACCCTAATCTTATCTGGCTCAACCCTAATCTTATCTGGCTCAACATCTGGCTCAACCCTAATCTTATCTGGCTCAACCCTAATCTTATCTGGCTCAACCCTAATCTTATCTGGCTCAACCCTAATCTTATCTGGCTCAACATCTGGCTCAACCCTAATCTTATCTGGCTCAACCCTAATCTTATCTGGCTCAACCCTAATCTTATCTGGCTCAACATCTGGCTCAACCCTAATCTTATCTGGCTCAACCCTAATCTTATCTGGCTCAACCCTAATCTTATCTGGCTCAACCCTAATCTTATCTGGCTCAACATCTGGCTCAACCCTAATCTTATCTGGCTCAACATCTGGCTCAACCCTAATCTTATCTGGCTCAACATCTGGCTCAACCCTAATCTTATCTGGCTCAACCCTAATCTTATCTGGCTCAACATCTGGCTCAACCCTAATCTTATCTGGCTCAACCCTAATCTTATCTGGCTCAACATCTAGCTCAACCCTAATCTTATCTGGCTCAACATCTGGCTCAACCCTAATCTTATCTGGCTCAACATCTGGCTCAACCCTAATCTTATCTGGCTCAACATCTGGCTCAACCCTAATCTTATCTGGCTCAACATCTGGCTCAACCCTAATCTTATCTGGCTCAACCCTAATCTTATCTGGCTCAACATCTGGCTCAACCCTAATCTTATCTGGCTCAACCCTAATCTTATCTGGCTCAACATCTGGCTCAACCCTAATCTTATCTGGCTCAACCCTAATCTTATCTGGCTCAACCCTAATCTTATCTGGCTCAACCCTAATCTTATCTGGCTCAACATCTGGCTCAACCTTAATCTTATCTGGCTCAACATCTGGCTCAACCCTAATCTTATCTGGCTCAACATCTGGCTCAACCCTAATCTTATCTGGCTCAACCCTAATCTTATCTGGCTCAACATCTGGCTCAACCCTAATCTTATCTGGCTCAACATCTGGCTCAACCCTAATCTTATCTGGCTCAACATCTGGCTCAACTTTAATCTTATCTGGATCAACATCTGGCTCAACCCTAATCTTATCTGGCTCAACATCTGGCTCAACCCTAATCTTATCTGGCTCAACCCTAATCTTATCTGGCTCAACATCTAGCTCAACCCTAATCTTATCTGGCTCAACATCTGGCTCAACCCTAATCTTATCTGGCTCAACATCTGGCTCAACCCTAATCTTATCTGGCTCAACCCTAATCTTATCTGGCTCAACCCTAATCTTATCTGGCTCAACATCTAGCTCAACCCTAATCTTATCTGGCTCAACATCTGGCTCAACCCTAATCTTATCTGGCTCAACATCTGGCTCAACCCTAATCTTATCTGGCTCAACCCTAATCTTATCTGGCTCAACATCTGGCTCAACCCTAATCTTATCTGGCTCAACCCTAATCTTATCTGGCTCAACCCTAATCTTATCTGGCTCAACATCTAGCTCAACCCTAATCTTATCTGGCTCAACATCTGGCTCAACCCTAATCTTATCTGGCTCAACATCTGGCTCAACCCTAATCTTATCTGGCTCAACCCTAATCTTATCTGGCTCAACATCTGGCTCAACCCTAATCTTATCTGGCTCAACCCTAATCTTATCTGGCTCAACATCTGGCTCAACCCTAATCTTATCTGGCTCAACCCTAATCTTATCTGGCTCAACATCTAGCTCAACCCTAATCTTATCTGGCTCAACATCTGGCTCAACCCTAATCTTATCTGGCTCAACATCTGGCTCAACCCTAATCTTATCTGGCTCAACATCTGGCTCAACCCTAATCTTATCTGGCTCAACATCTGGCTCAACCCTAATCTTATCTGGCTCAACATCTGGCTCAACCCTAATCTTATCTGGCTCAACCCTAATCTTATCTGGCTCAACATCTGGCTCAACCCTAATCTTATCTGGCTCAACCCTAATCTTATCTGGCTCAACCCTAATCTTATCTGGCTCAACATCTGGCTTAACCCTAATCTTATCTGGCTCAACATCTGGCTCAACCCTAATCTTATCTGGCTCAACATCTGGCTCAACCTTAATCTTATCTGGCTCAACATCTGGCTTAACCCTAATCTTATCTGGCTCAACCCTAATCTTATCTGGCTCAACATCTGGCTCAACCCTAATCTTATCTGGCTCAACATCTGGCTCAACCCTAATCTTATCTGGCTCAACATCTGGCTCAACTTTAATCTTATCTGGCTCAACATCTGGCTCAACCCTAATCTTATCTGGCTCAACATCTGGCTCAACCCTAATCTTATCTGGCTCAACCCTAATCTTATCTGGCTCAACATCTGGCTCAACCCTAATCTTATCTGGCTCAACCCTAATCTTATCTGGCTCAACATCTAGCTCAACCCTAATCTTATCTGGCTCAACATCTGGCTCAACCCTAATCTTATCTGGCTCAACATCTGGCTCAACCCTAATCTTATCTGGCTCAACATCTGGCTCAACCCTAATCTTATCTGGCTCAACCCTAATCTTATCTGGCTCAGCATCTAGCTCAACCCTAATCTTATCTGGCTCAACATCTGGCTTAACCCTAATCATATCTGGCTCAACATCTGGCTCAACCCTAATCTTATCTGGCTCAACCTCTGGCTTAACCCAAATTATATCTGGCTCAACATCTGGCTCAACCCTAATCTTATCTGGCTCAACATCTGGCTCAACCCTAATCTTATCTGGCTCAACCCTAATCTTATCTGGCTCAACATCTGGCTCAACCCTAATCTTATCTGGCTCAACCCTAATCTTATCTGGCTCAACATCTAGCTCAACCCTAATCTTATCTGGCTCAACCCTAATCTTATCTGGCTCAACATCTGGCTCAACCCTAATCTTATCTGGCTCAACATCTGGCTCAACTTTAATCTTATCTGGCTCAACATCTGGCTTAACCCTAATCATATCTGGCTCAACATCTGGCTCAACCCTAATCTTATCTGGCTCAACATCTGGCTTAACCCTAATCATATCTGGCTCAACATCTGGCTCAACCCTAATCTTATCTGGCTCAACATCTGGCTCAACCCTAATCTTATCTGGCTCAACCCTAATCTTATCTGGCTCAACATCTGGCTCAACCCTAATCTTATCTGGCTCAACCCTAATCTTATCTGGCTCAACATCTAGCTCAACCCTAATCTTATCTGGCTCAACATATGGCTCAACCCTAATCTTATCTGGCTCAACATCTGGCTCAACCCTAATCTTATCTGGCTCAACATCTGGCTCAACCCTAATCTTATCTGGCTCAACATCTGGCTCAACCCTAATCTTATCTGGCTCAACTCTAATCTTATCTGGCTCAACATCTGGCTCAACCCTAATCTTATCTGGCTCAACCCTAATCTTATCTGGCTCAACCCTAATCTTATCTGGCTCAACATCTGGCTCAACCCTAATCTTATCTGGCTCAACCCTAATCTTATCTGGCTCAACATCTGGCTCAACCCTAATCTTATCTGGCTCAACCCTAATCTTATCTGGCTCAACCCTAATCTTATCTGGCTCAACATCTGGCTCAACCCTAATCTTATCTGGCTCAACATCTGGCTCAACCCTAATCTTATCTGGCTCAACCCTAATCTTATCTGGCTCAACATCTGGCTCAACCCTAATCTTATCTGGCTCAACATCTGGCTCAACCCTAATCTTATCTGGCTCAACATCTGGCTCAACTTTAATCTTATCTGGCTCAACATCTGGCTCAACCCTAATCTTATCTGGCTCAACATCTGGCTCAACCCTAATCTTATCTGGCTCAACCCTAATCTTATCTGGCTCAACATCTGGCTCAACCCTAATCTTATCTGGCTCAACCCTAATCTTATCTGGCTCAACATCTAGCTCAACCCTAATCTTATCTGGCTCAACATCTGGCTCAACCCTAATCTTATCTGGCTCAACATCTGGCTCAACCCTAATCTTATCTGGCTCAACCCTAATCTTATCTGGCTCAACATCTGGCTCAACCCTAATCTTATCTGGCTCAACATCTAGCTCAACCCTAATCTTATCTGGCTCAACATCTGGCTCAACCCTAATCTTATCTGGCTCAACATCTGGCTCAACCCTAATCTTATCTGGCTCAACCCTAATCTTATCTGGCTCAACATCTGGCTCAACCCTAATCATATCTGGCTCAACATCTGGCTCAACCCTAATCTTATCTGGCTCAACATCTGGCTCAACCCTAATCTTATCTGGCTCAACCCTAATCTTATCTGGCTCAACATCTAGCTCAACCCTAATCTTATCTGGCTCAACCCTAATCTTATCTGGCTCAACATCTGGCTCAACCCTAATCTTATCTGGCTCAACATCTGGCTCAACCCTAATCTTATCTGGCTCAACATCTGGCTTAACCCTAATCATATCTGGCTCAACATCTGGCTTAACCCTAATCATATCTGGCTCAACATCTGGCTCAACCCTAATCATATCTGGCTCAACATCTGGCTCAACCCTAATCTTATCCCCATTAATACAATTTTAAAAATGTTTTAATAAAAGTAATTGTATATTAGATTTGATGATTTATGAATTTTTACCAAATAAAATATTAAAATGCTAAGATTTTTTATCTCTATCACAGGTCATTGATTTTGGCTGCTCAGAGTGCAACTTCATTAGGCTTCTGACAACAGTTCCTAGCTTAGAGCAAATAGCGTTTATTGATGTGGACAAAAACTTACTCAACTCCAAGAAAAGTTGTATTTTACCAGAGCATAGGCATTATATTTTTAAACGCTCTCTGCCCTTGCATGCTTCTATCTATGCAGGTAGCGCTGAGGATGTTGATTTCAGAGTAGTAGGATATGAAGCTATTACTATGATTGAACTGTTAGTACCTTCTTGTTTCTCATATTCTATAAAGTCTTTAGCACTTGCATACTTAATTGACGTATTGTATGATTCATGGAAGTGCTGAATGGTCAGCACATTACTTAATGCAATGGGGCAGGGTGGCTAGTTTTTATGGGGCTATGTTTTTTATGTACTTTTTAAAATTGCTTTTTCCTTATTAAAATTCTCTTTGGTTAAACTGGTATTATACAGTGATATTTTAATAATCCAGTGAAATCAAGATTGTTATTTTTTCAGGATAGAACATCTTGAGCCAGATGTACTAAGCAATGTTACAAAGAATGTGTTTGCTAACCTCAGACCCAAATTGTGCATAGTTACAACACCCAATGCTGAGTTTAATGTGTTATTTCAAAATTCTGACCCCACAGCATTCCGTCATTGGGATCACAAATTTGAATGGAATCGAGCAGAATTTCAGACCTGGTAAGGTCATTGACTTTGTGTTTATAATTTAAGCTGTATGCCTACTTATATTAGTAATTAGAGAGTTATTTAGGATACCAGCAAAATGCGCAACGGGAAACTGTCAAATCAGAAAAATGTGCAAATGCAAACTCATTATACTAATACACAATAATCATTTGGTCATATTTTGTTGAAAATGTTTTATTAAGCTACGATGTATAGGTGTGATTCTTTGCTTAAGTTTTTAAATTGTTGATTTTAAAAAAAATTAATTCCCTTGCCCAATTTTTTGTACTAGTTTCATTTGACTTAGATTTTTTAAAAATTTAGTGGGTGGTGAAATTCTATGTGAATAGCTCTTGCAATCCTATTCAATGCAACAGTAACTGTCACATTGATATTTTAAAATATAAAAGTCTTATTAAAAAATTCTGTTTGCAGATAAGAATTATGTGATAATTATGTTTGCAGGTGTGATGTTTGTGAAACCTATGTTTGTGAAACCTATGTTTGTGAAACCTATGTTTGCAGGTGTGATGTTTGTGAAACCTATGTTTGCAGGTGTGATGTTTGTGAAACCTATGTTTGCAGGTGTGATGTTTGTGAAACCTATGTTTGCAGGTGTGATGTTTATGAAACCTATGTTTGCAGGTGTGATGTTTGTGAAACCTATGTTTGCAGGTGTGATGTTTGTGAAACCTATGTTTGCAGGTGTGATGTTTGTGAAACCTATGTTTGCAGGTGTGATATTTGTGAAACCTATGTTTGTGAAACCTATGTTTGTGAAACCTATGTTTGCAGGTGTGATGTTTGTGAAACCTATGTTTGCAGGTGTGATGTTTGTGAAACCTATGTTTGCAGGTGTGAAGATGTATGTGATACATATGGCTACACAGTCAAGTACTCTGGTGTTGGGGTCCTACCCAAAAAACCTGAGACCCACCACCTGGGACCCTGCTCTCAAGCCGCCATTTTTCACTTGGCCTCAGATGCTTTTAACAGAAATCAAAACAGGGAATTCCAGACATCTTACGAGTTAGTAAGTTCTAGAAAGTATGCAGGCATTAAAACAGTTTAGTAAGTTCTAGAAAGTATGCAGGCATAGAAACAGTTTACTAAGTTCTATAAAGTATGCATGCATTAAAACAGTTTAGTAAGTTGTATAAAGTATGCATGCATTAAAACAGTTTAGTAAGTTCTAGAAAGTATGCAGGCATAGAAACAGTTTAGTAAGTTCTAGAAAGTATGCATCCATTAAAACAGTTTAGTAAGTTCTATAAAGTATACATGCATTAAAACAGTTTAGTAAGTTCTATAAAGTATGCAGGCTTTAAAACAGTTTAGTAAGTTCTATAAAGTATGCAGGCATTAAAACAGTTTAGTAAGTTCTATGAAGTATGCAGGCTTTAAAACAGTTTAGTAAGTTCTAGAAATATGCATCCATTAAAACAGTTTAGTAAGTTCTATAAAGTATGCATATGTTACAGTCAAAGCCCGAAGTCGGCCAATGCTAGGATTGGCCGGCCAATCCGCGCATTGGCCAATGTCGCCTCCCATAGGTCGGTCAAAGTCCGAAACTTTGCTTGATTTCGGCCTTTGGCCAGCCAATCCGCAGACTGGCCATGGTGGACTGGCCAAAGTCTTATTTAGAAGATCATCTGGCTAGGGACGACCGGCCAAAGTCCGAATTAGAAGATCATGAGCAGATTTTGGTTTTTTTTAATGCCGTAAGGATCATTAAATTAAGTCTTTATTGATTATTAATTAAAGTAAATGACAGAAACATTCAAATTTTTTATTGTACTAGAGTCTCAATCAATCAATATTATCACTTGTTACAACAAGTTGAACTTTTATGGCATTTAGAATTACATAGCAGCTTGTTATTTTTACACTTGCAGCGATTTGTTGTGCACTTAGTTGTGCAATTGCAGCGAGTGTAGCCTTGGCCCCCAGTCAATGATTGTGAAGATGCGATGGTTCGTAGTGATTTTTCCTCAGTGCCAACTGACGACAATAAGAGCAGTTTTTCGTGAAGAATTGAAAACTCACTTCTAGCATACAGTTGTTTTAGAACACCATGTTCCGTTCCTAATTTGTAGAAACCGCCCTCGACGCTCATGACAACTGCAATCACGCTTCGGGGATCACCGTGACCTCTGTCAACATCTGGAAAACGGATGCGTACATTGTCACCCACTTCACCATCTTTAAATTTTGTATTTGATGTTTTATGCATCTTAGCACCTTGAGTTTGCAAGCCAGTATGAGCTGCTGATCTGTGTTCCATGATGTCTTGTTTGTTGTGACACAATCTGCAGGTAATGTTCCCTCCGTACCCTTCGTCTGCTTCATTGGGTACTCCACAAATAGCATGGACATCCTTGCCACAGGATCCACAAGAATGAGCTGAACTACAACGTTTTTCACAAACCATATAGAATCTGTTGGCCACATTATTGTCACGCAACTGGTCTGGGCGTTCTGCCACGGCAGCAGATGTGTTCGCAGAGGATGTCGTTGCATTTATGGCAACCTCCATTTCTTGTTCAATGTTCTAAAGATCTTCCTCAGTAACTATTTTATCGAGAGCCCATATATGGAAACGAACATGGATTTACATTTTTACTTTCTCGTATATACAAAGTATAGAGAAAGTATTGTAATCGTGCACAAAAATCACTTGAAATTTTAACAATTTTCACCATATTACACCTCAGTCCTTCATCACATCCGAAGTATAGAGGACTTATTTTAATTGGGCAAAAATTATCAATCCAGATTTATCAAAATTAAGAGGTTTTATTCGTAATCCAGTCTGAAAAACTGGGCTTTGCAATTCTGTCCGTATGTCTGTGTGTGTGTGTGTCTGTCCGTGTGTAAACACGATAACTTGAGTACCGTTACAGCTAGGTTGATGAAATTTAATATATAAGTATTTTATCAAAATCGTAGATCCGTATCAACTTTTGAGCGATTTCCGATAACCGGAAGTGGTACTTTTCCTACTTTGAATTTTTCAAAAGCCTATAACTTGAGTACTATTTCAGATAGATAAATGAAATTTCACACGTAAGTAAAAGATCTAATTCTCTACCCTCTGTTAAATTTTGAGTAATTTCCGTTTGACTGGAAGTAGTAATTTACGCTACTTCCGATTTCTCAAAAAACTAATGTAAATTTTTAAAGTACTAATAATATTGCACACTATTATGCACTTTTTTATTTGGCGTTCACTTGGTGTGCAATTATTTTGTCTACGAGATTTTATTCTATTTTTAAAACTTTAAGTATTTAAAATGGATTAAAAATCATGTCTATAGCCCGAGTTCCCATCCCCTGTTGTTTTATATAAGAATATTCGAGAAAGTTTAGGGGAGATCACTCCCGGTTTATTTTCTTTTGACAACCATCTGCTATGTCTGTCTCATGGTCTGACGGCCCTTTTGATCCAGGTCGCCTTGCATATAGAATGCTAGACAAACAAGAGCTAAATAATACGTTACTCTCAATGAAAACGCACCCAGAATAATGAAAATGCGATCACAACTTAGTCTAGATAGAACATTGGCCAGGACATCCCGGCCAGTGTGCGCATTGGCCGGCCAATGTACAAAATACTCTGTCAAGTTTAAGCGCTTCGGACTTTGGCCAGTACGTCCCGGCCAGTGCGCGCATTGGCTGGCCAATGTACGAAATACTATCTTAGTGCTCAGTTCTTCGGGCTTTGGCCAAGAGAGCCGGCCAATCCACGCTTTGGCTGCACTTCGGGCTTTGACCGTAACATATACATTAAAACAGTTTAGTAAGTTCTATAAAGTACGTAGACATAAAACAGTTTAGTAAGTTCTAGAAAGTTTGCATGCATTAAAACAGTTTAGTAAGTTCTATAAAGTATACATACATTAAAACAGTTTAGTAAGTTCTATAAAGTATGCATGCATTAAAACAGTTTAGTAAGTTCTAGAAAGTATGCAGGCATTAAAACAGTTTAGTAAGTTCTATAAAGTATGCAGGCTTTAAAACAGTTTAGTAAGTTCTATAAAATATGCAGGCTTTAAAACAGTTTAGTAAGTTCTATAAAGTATGCAGGCATTAAAACAGTTTAGTAAGTTCTATAAAGTATGCAGGCATTAAAACAGTTTAGTAAGTTCTAGAAAGTATCCATGCATTAAAACAGTTTAGTAAGTTCTATAAAGTATGCATCCATTAAAACAGTTTAGTAAGTTCTGTAAAGTATGCAGGCATTAAAACAGTTTAGTAAGTTCTATAGAGTATGCAGGCATTAAAACAGTTTAGTAAGTTCTATAAAGTATGCATACATTAAAACAGTTTAGTAAGTTCTGTAAAGTATGCAGGCATTAAAACAGTTTTTTAATAACCCAAAATATTTTTTCCCTTCCTACTCCTTGTCATTCTCATGCCATTGAAAAGTTAACATTTTGTAAAAGAGCTTTTGGTAGCTAGCAGGCCTGTAACCGTAACCCTTATTGGTCTATACTTCAAAGGTTCAACAATGATAAACCAAACAGCTTAACACTGTTTGCAGCTACAGTTACAAGAATTAAACTTTTCTCTTCAACTTCTAATACCTCCCGTAGTCAAGTCCTATTTTCGAACCTGACAGTCCTTAGGGCAAGTGAAGTAGAATTCACCTTTTTCTGTGACCTCTGTATATGCAGGGATAGTGGGGTCAGCACTACGCCCAGGTGCCTTTACTTTCCCTAATGTGAGTTAGGTACCCATCAGTGCTGGGTGGACCCAGGGGTGTTCTACTGATCTGAACCTAGAATCAAACTCGAGACTTTTGAGTTAGCAGTCTACTGCTGAGCCACGCCGTCCCATCACCTCCCCTGGTACTAGATTAAAAACTGGAAGGCAGGTCTCCCTAGGTGGGTGCACCTTCCAGTTGGGAATCTGCTGCTTTAAAATGTTATTTTGATGAAGACAACATTCTACATTAATGCTAAATATAAAATATTTAAATATTGGAAGATGTTACCATTAAAAACATGTATCTTAATAAATATACAAACTTTTAAAAGTTGAAATTAGTTAAATACGCCACATTTTTATTACAATTGAAAGTCATTGAATATGCAGGCATTTTTTGAACAGATAGCAGAATCTGAGTTTCCTTACGAAGATAATTCCCTGAGCCTAGAGGATAAAATAGACAACGCAGTGTTGTACAGCCTAGGCTATTTTGTCAAGAACCACCGACAGGAAGACACCAATCTCCCTCTGATGATCCCAGTGGCCACCCTGGCTGAGTTCCCTGTGGTCAAGTCTCTGTGTGGTGTGGATGGTGTCAGGTAACTTTACCTCGTGTGGTGTCAGGTAACTTTACCTTGTGTGGATGGTGTCAGGTAACTTTACCTTGTGTGGATGGTGTCAGGTAACTTTACCTCATGTAGTGTCAGGTAACTTTACCTTGTGTGGATGGTGTCAGGTAACTTTACCTTGTGTGGATGGTGTCAGGTAACTTTACCTCATGTGGATGGTGTCAGGTAACTTTACCTTGTGTGGATGGTGTCAGGTAACTTTACCTTGTGTGGATGGTGTCAGGTAACTTTACCTTGTGTGGTGTCAGGTAACTTTACCTTGTGTGGATGGTGTCAGGTAACTTTACCTCATGTGGATGGTGTCAGGTAACTTTACCTTGTGTGGATGGTGTCAGGTAACTTTACCTTGTGTGGATGGTGTCAGGTAACTTTACCACGTGTGGATGGTGTCAGGTAACTTTACCTTGTGTTGATGGTGTCAGGTAACTTTACCTCATGTAGTGTCAGGTAACTTTACCTTGTGTGGATGGTGTCAGGTAACTTTACCTTGTGTGGATGGTGTCAGGTAACTTTACCACGTGTGGATGGTGTCAGGTAACTTTACCTCATGTGGATGGTGTCAGGTAACTTTACCTTGTGTTGATGGTGTCAGGTAACTTTACCTCGTGTGGATGGTGTCAGGTAACTTTACCTTGTGTGGATGGTGTCAGGTAACTTTACCTTGTGTGGATGGTGTCAGGTAACTTTACCTTGTGTGGTGTCAGGTAACTTTACCTTGTGTGGATGGTGTCAGGTAACTTTACCTTGTGTGGATGGTGGCAGGTAACTTTACCACGTGTGGATGGTGTCAGGTAACTTTACCTTGTGTTGATGGTGTCAGGTAAGTACCTTGTGTGGATGGTGTCAGGTAACTTTACCTCATGTAGTGTCAGGTAACTTTACCTTGTGTGGATGGTGTCAGGTAACTTTACCTTATGTGGATGGTGTCAGGTAACTTTACCTTGTGTTGATGGTGTCAGGTAACTTTACCTCATGTAGTGTCAGGTAACTTTACCTTGTGTGGATGGTGTCAGGTAACTTTACCACGTGTGGATGGTGTCAGGTAACTTTACATTGTGTGGATGGTGTCAGGTAACTTTACCTTGTGTGGATGGTGTCAGGTAACTTTACCTTGTGTGGATGGTGTCAGGTAACTTTACCTTGTGTGGATGGTGTCAGGTAACTTTACATTGTGTGGATGGTGTCAGGTAACTTTACCTCATGTGGATGGTGTCAGGTAACTTTACCTTGTGTGGTGTCAGGTAACTTTACCACGTGTGGATGGTGTCAGGTAACTTTACCTTGTGTTGATGGTGTCAGGTAAGTACCTTGTGTGGATGGTGTCAGGTAACTTTACCTCATGTAGTGTCAGGTAACTTTACCTTGTGTGGATGGTGTCAGGTAACTTTACCTTATGTGGATGGTGTCAGGTAACTTTACCTTGTGTTGATGGTGTCAGGTAACTTTACCTCATGTAGTGTCAGGTAACTTTACCTTGTGTGGATGGTGTCAGGTAACTTTACCACGTGTGGATGGTGTCAGGTAACTTTACATTGTGTGGATGGTGTCAGGTAACTTTACCTTGTGTGGATGGTGTCAGGTAACTTTACCTCATGTGGATGGTGTCAGGTAACTTTACCTTGTGTGGATGGTGTCAGGTAACTTTACCTTGTGTGGATGGTGTCAGGTAACTTTACATTGTGTGGATGGTGTCAGGTAACTTTACCTCATGTGGATGGTGTCAGGTAACTTTACCTTGTGTGGTGTCAGGTAACTTTACCACGTGTGGATGGTGTCAGGTAACTTTACCTTGTGTTGATGGTGTCAGGTAACTACCTTGTGTGGATGGTGTCAGGTAACTTTACCTCGTGTGGATGGTGTCAGGTAACTTTACCTTGTGTGGATGGTGTCAGGTATCTGTTTACCTTGTGTGGATGGTGTCAGGTAACTTTACCTTGTGTTGATGGTGTCAGGTAACTACCTTGTGTGGATGGTGTCAGGTAACTTTACCTTGTGTGGTGTCAGGTAACTTTACCTTGTGTGGTGTCAGGTAACTTTACCTCATGTGGATGGTGTCAGGTAACTTTACCTTGTGTGGATGGTGTCAGGTAACTTTACCACGTGTGGATGGTGTCAGGTAACTTTACATTGTGTGGATGGTGTCAGGTAACTTTACCTCGTGTGGATGGTGTCAGGTATCTGTTTACCTTGTGTGGATGGTGTCAGGTAACTTTACCTTGTGTGGATGGTGTCAGGTAACTTTACCACGTGTGGATGGTGTCAGGTAACTTTACCACGTGTGGATGGTGTCAGGTAACTTTACCTTGTGTGGTGTCAGGTAACTTTACCTTGTGTGGATGGTGTCAGGTAACTTTACCTTGTGTGGATGGTGTCAGGTAACTTTACCTCATGCGGTGTCAGGTAACTTTACCTGGTGTGGATGGTGTCAGGTAACTTTACCTTGTGTGGATGGTGTCAGGTAACTTTACCTTGTGTGGATGGTGTCAGGTAACTTTACCTTGTGTGGATGGTGTCAGGTAACTTTACCTTGTGTGGATGGTGTCAGGTAACTTTACCTTGTGTGGATGGTGTCTGGTAACTTTACCTTGTGTGGTGTCAGGTAACTTTACCTTGTGTGGATGGTGTCGGGTAACTTTACCTCGTGTGGATGGTGTCAGGTAACTTTACCTTGTGTGGTGTCAGGTAACTTTACCTTGTGTGGATGGTGTCAGGTAACTTTACCTTGTGTGGATGGTGTCAGGTAACTTTACCTTGTGTGGATGGTGTCGGGTAACTTTACCTTGTGTGGATGGTGTCGGGTAACTTTACCTCGTGTGGATGGTGTCAGGTAACTTTACCTTGTGTGGATGGTGTCAGGTAACTTTACCTTGTGTGGATGGTGTCAGGTAACTTTACCTTGTGTGGATGGTGTCAGGTAACTTTACCTTGTGTGGATGGTGTCAGGTAACTTTACCTTGTGTGGATGGTGTCAGGTAACTTTACCTTGTGTGGATGGTGTCAGGTAACTTTACCTTGTGTGGATGGTGTCGGGTAACTTTACCTCGTGTGGATGGTGTCAGGTAACTTTACCTTGTGTGGATGGTGTCAGGTAACTTTACCTTGTGTGGATGGTGTCAGGTAACTTTACCTTGTGTGGATGGTGTCAGGTAACTTTACCTTGTGTGGATGGTGTCAGGTAACTTTACCTTGTGTGGATGGTGTCGGGTAACTTTACCTCGTGTGGATGGTGTCAGGTAACTTTACCTTGTGTGGATGGTGTCGGGTAACTTTACCTCGTGTGGATGGTGTCAGGTAACTTTACCTTGTGTGGATGGTGTCGGGTAACTTTACCTCGTGTGGATGGTGTCAGGTAACTTTACCCGGTGTTGATGGTGTCAGGTAACTGTTTCAATAAGGATAGGTCACCCATTGACTTATCCTATGTTTTTCAATAAGAATAAGCTACCCATTTACATATAGTGTGTATTTTGTTTCATTCTTGAACTATTAGTTAATTTTTATTCATTTTCAAAGTGTCATTGTATCTTGACTTGTATATTTAAAATCTTTAAACTTAGATTTGTAACCAAGACAATTTCTTTGAAATAACTGTCTGTGCATCTCTACAGAGAAAGTCTACTCAGATCTCAGCTTGACCTGTCTGCTGATGGCGTGTATGTTAAGGCACCAAATGACTCTGATGGGGACTCTACCAGTGGAGAATCAGATGAAACAAACTTTGTATCTAGTTTGGAGGAAAAAGACAACATTGGACAATACACTATGGGGGATGAAGATTGGGACTTGGATTGACTATAAAACTTCAGTTTTTAAACAATGAACACTGCAGTTGTTACAACCCAATGTGTAGCCTTATAAGGTATTGACAGCGGTTTGTTATCTGCTCTACCTCCCTGTGATGAAAATGAGAAAACTCCAGCTTTATCTTTCAACAAGAAAAATGTCCGTCCAAACTTATGTCATGCAGCATGTTTTTAAATTGTGAAAGTTATTACTACATCGTTATAGTTCACACGGAAAAGTCTGTTTTATCTTTTCATGCGTTATTATTTTCATGTATGTTATTATTTTCATGTATGTTAATCTGTTACTATTCTGTGGAATACTTTAGCTCAGTCTACACTGTAATTGCTGCAAGATCGCACGCAATTGCGTTATAAATTTTTTTTTATTTATACTGTAAAACCCCTTATTCACTCTCATTGTAAAATTAAAACCTATATTAATTATGTCCAAAGCATTTCCTATGATTTAAAACAGTAGTGAAGCCAAATACAATTTGATGACAGATACTTTTTCTATAGAACTTGTAAGATTTAGTAAGATTGGGAAAATTGTTTTTTTTAATTAACAGGTTCATAAAAAAGGGTATTTTAAAGACTTCAATTTTTTTTTCTTATTTAAGATCATTTTCTTATTAATACAAAAATTAACAAAGTATCCAAAAGTGCAAGAAACCCATTATGACAAAAAAAAAAGCACAATTTTGACGATTTTTTTTTGCATGTGCGAATCCCCTTAATTCATCTAAAACCAGTTAGGGTTATCCTCTGAAACTAATTAATAAAAGTAAAAGGGTGAGAAGAAATCATCCGTGTACCAACTTGTTTACCTAATACAACAGATGTTAGCGTTCTCTGTTCTTACTGCATTTAGACTTCATCAAAAGTAATCACTTGGGCATAGGTTGCTACAGCTGGTGAGGCCTAAAGTAGTTGAACCAGTTTTTATCACTTGATCATAAGAAAATTTTGTTTTATCTAAGTTTTTCTAGTTTTGATGTAAATATTTCATTATCTTTTTACCTTGACTCTTAAGTGTCTTCAACATTTTTTGTGTATTATGCCTTACAGCAAGTGTAAACCTAACATTATGGGATAGATACCTGAATTACTTAATGACAAATTTGTTTGTTCAATAGTTTTTATTAGAAGCAAGTCAAACAAGGAGATATCTAACACCAGCTCTAAGGGTAAATAAACCTCAAGTGAAATTTTACATTCAGAAATTCTATAGAAGTCAATTTTTTTTTTGTACAAAAGATTTATTGTCACAAAGTAACAAAATTTTGTAGAGCTATTTTAGAATATTTTAATTAGAAAGTAAATGAACAAAGTATAAAATCTAATACTGGACAGTGCCACTGGACTGGGAGAACTGTTAACTCCCATCTTACACTTTATGTGCATCATTTACTTAAGTAACAACAACAAAGTTTACTAAGCAATTCTATACATTGTTTTAAAATAAATTACACCAACCTTTCCTAGTTATTTAACCAAATATAAAAAATGGAATACTGCTTAAAACATGCACATCAAGGATAAAATAAGTAGAAGCTGAATAATTTATAAAATTTCAAATTCAGTAGCTGTTAAATTAAAAAATATTTTTTAAATTAAAAACAATGTGCCTTAATTAAAAAGTTAATCAGAAACAATGAATGTAAACAAAAGGGGTGGAAAAAGCTAAACATAACGATCCCACACATCCTCCCCTGACTAATGGCTGTATCTGCTCTATCAACATCAACTAATGGTATCAAAGCTTACAAGTGAAAATTAAAACAAAGCAGTGGGTAGAGTCCAACAAAATGGATAAAATTGAAGTGAAGTACTTAAGTAAACAAATGTATAAACATTTGATATGAGCTATGAAATATTTACAGTGAATCATCTATTAACAGGGTTAAATTTTGATTTCAAATAAACCATGTTCAAGTGTCATCTGATATTAGGGCTAGAATTCATTTATTAAAGTTTAAAACTTAACAATAGCCTATTTCTGAACATTGATTATCAAGAACATAAAATACAACACACCTTTAAAAAGATCACTTGAAAAAAGTTTATAACCACCTAAAGAAAACATTTACAATGTTTAAAAAAAATTTGCACAAAAAAAATGAATTCATTACTAAAGCAAGTATTAAAGTAGATAATACATAAATTTGTTTGTGCTCTGCAATACCTGAAGGCATTATCCACATAATATTCTTTGTGTTTTATAGAGTAAGTTTTGAACAGGTGTCTGCAGTCAACTAGTGTATAAAAAATGATATAATTTATGAAGCGCCCCAATCTATTTCTTAGCTTTACCACGTCCACGGCCTCTCCTGGCAGTGCCACCCCCTCTACCTTTACCAGCAGGCTTGGTAGTCTCAACAGGTGTGGAAGTCAATTGACTAACATCCTCCTCTGTATTAGCAGTTACACTTTCCTCTTCTTTCTCCTCCCCTTCACCAGATAGATCCATGCATGGATCCTCATCTACCTTAGCTGGTTCCTCAGACTCCTTTAACTGTTCATCATCATCACTTGTTACTTCTGTGGTTGCTGGTGCTGAATTAAATTACCTCAGTGTAAGATCAAACACATATTTAAAACATGTTTTAAAGCTAGAAAATGTAAATAACAGAGACAGTTTAATGATAGAAAGAAAATATGTGGTATGAGTAGGCATGTGAAGAGTACCTTGGGTGCTAGATTGTTCCTGTTTTTGAAGTTCCAGGTGTGCTTCAGCTAGTTCTCCAGACATGTAGACAAAACTGGAATTAGCATTTGTGTCCTCAAGGAGAGAGTCACCTGTGGTAGCATTGTGGCTGGTGGAGCTTGGCTCATCATCATCCAACATCCCAAAGTCATCATCTTTAACTAAACCACCATCATCATCCTCATCTTCCAATGGAAGCTCATCGTCATAATCTTCGTCATCATCATCTTTATTTAAATCTTTATCACCATCTATTTCTTCTTTTAATTCCTGTTCAACAGCATCTCCCCCACTTTCCTTCAGAGCTTCCTCATTGGCTTTTTTCTCAGCCTCTGCAGCAGCTTCTTCAGCCCTTCTCTTTTCACGAGCAGCTATTTTTGCTTCAGTGGCCAACTAAGGGGAAAATTGGTAAATATAGTGACGGTTAAAAAAACAAACTTTAGCTGACAGTCATCTATCAGCAATTACATTTGGAAACATTTATTTTATTCATCAGGAGGCCCACATTCATTTTTGTATGGTTTGTATAATGTAAAAACATAGGTACTCCAAACTGATTTTTCTAATCCACCACACAATAATGTCTTTTTCCCATAGTACTTTTTATTTTAAGAATGTGGATAACTAGTATAAAATAAAGTGATTGAAAAACCATTTTTTATCAAACATGTAGCAAAACTTCAATATTTAAATTGTTTTAATTATATCTCAACATTTCCGAGGTCTAAATAGAATAGAACTTTCTGTTGTTTTTTTTTTTAAAATACCAGCTGATAGTGTTGGCAAAAAAGAAAAACATGCCTTTAATCGCACACATTAGTGTCGTTTAGTGTTTTAGCTATATTATTAAGCATTCAAATAATGTGCATTAATTTTAAATGAGACAAGAAGTCATTCACTCTTGACATATTACACTAATTATACAGTTTATACCTAAGATAGTAAACAAGTGCAAAAATTTAGAATAGGGTAGGAATAAAAACTGGTTTTAAGCTGCTAAAAAATGATACCATAGATATACAATTTTTTCATTTCTTTACCAGTAAAAAATCAACACTAAGAGCTTAAATTAAGCTTTAAAATGATACAATTTTAATGATACACTAATAATTTTGATCAGAGAAATAAGGTGAGGAAGAAAAGGAAGAAAGTAAAAACATTTAGCAAATCCTAATTTTCTTTACTTTGAGTACCTAATCCATACATTTTTAATTTAAAAAAAACCAACCTTGAACTTTTCATAATGTGTTTCACTTTGACAATGGGCTCCTTTTGCAGACTTTTCATTGTTATAAAATTTATGGCATAATTTACAGAAGAATCCAGTCACAGGAATAATGTAAGATAATCCTTCAAATAAATAAATGTCACTGTTAAGATACTGCCAAATCTTGAATAAAATTAGAAAGTATAAAATCAAACTAAACTGAATACATACCCACACAAGTTTCAGCATTGTATTCTGGTATTGTTAAATCCTCTTCATCTTCTTCTTTCTTTTTCTGAGAACATGGTTTAAAGCAATACTTCTATCATTGATAACTAAGACTACATTTAAAAAATCAATATTCCTAAAATATTGTATTAATGGCTCATAACTTACAACACAGATAATAAATTAGGAAACTAACGTTTTTGTGAATATCCAATATTATTGTCAATGACCAAAATTATACAGCTTTGAACGATTTCAATTTAATAGAAAAAAGTTTTTTGAATATTTTATGTTTATAACAGTACAGATAAAAGCTTCAGGTCTTTCTAAATGTTGTACTTTTTGCAAAAAAACTAGATATCTAAATTAAAAATATTCAATTTCTTTTGGTGAAACACTTGTCAACTTCAAAATAACAAACTCACTTTCTCTTTCTCCTTGAGCTTTCTCTCTTTCTCCTTCCTAGACCTGTCACGGGACGTGCTCCTCTTTCTGTGCTTCTAATAAAAACAAAATTTGTGTTAATCATCCCATTGATACTATTGTGATGTCACCAATTGGGAGTTTTAAAAAAGTTCACATTGCAATCAATACAAAATATTACCTCTCCTCTCCGGTCTCTGCTTCTACTCCTAGATCTGCCACGTTCTTTCTCATCTTTTTTCTTGCCATATTGCTCAGCATTCTAAAATATAAAAATAAAGAATCTAATATATAAAGATGAAATGGACTTTCACAGGCAAATAGAATGACGTCACACGATTCTATGAAGAAATAATGGTAATAAGTCAGAAGAAATAAAACTTATGAAAAGTACACACAAAGGATGTCATTAGTTGTAGATAAATAGAATTGATAGTCAAATGTTAAACAAAATAGACAAAGATAATAACATCATTGATAATGGATAATAAAGACACATCACCGCCGAATTTATTTGTCTAATATTAAAAGTGCTCATTTACCCCGGCAATGCCAGGCATATGCTGATTAATAAGCACACAAGTAATGCTAATTCTAGTGTTGTCCAATGTAGCAGGTGATGGATAGTTTTTTCATAGAGGCCAGTGCAGGGCCTGGCTGGGACAACTAGTAAACAATAAAATAATGTAATGTAATGCAAACTGGTCCTTGAATAAAGAATAATACCATACCTTCTTGTGCTCTTCTGTCTCCCTGTGCTCCAGAACTTCAGTGAAGTTGGTGAAGTCATGAACATTGCACCACCCACAACCTCTCTTCACTTGAAGCTGTCTTTGCTAAAGATCAACAGTTAAGTGATTACAATCCTGTTGCTTATGAGCACTGATAAAAAAACACCTAGAAAAGGTAAAGATGATCTAAACTGAAGGAAAAAATCTTTACCTTATGAATGTTTGAAAATCTGTGTCTTTCCCATGGAATTGTCAAACTATTGTTGCAAATCTTGCAGAAGTAGTTAGGGTCATAACTTCTGTGAATCAAATAGATGGATTTAAAAGTACTATTGCAGTGCTATCTAAAATAAAACAAACTGCTATGGCAAATGTATTGATAAAACACTTCATTTAAATTTTTTTAGAACTCTTTCAGCACACTTTAAAACTTTTTGAACAAATGTGTGAATATCATATAAAAACCCTTGTTAAGTCAAAAATTAATACAATTAGTTACCCTCCTCTCTTCCCTTCTATTTTTCGTAGATGCTCCTCTGCTTTCAGTCTACTCTTCAGCTGATTGCTCTTCATCTGATGCACTGTCAATACACTATTCATGCGCTGATTATGTTTGGTCCCATTTAGGTGACGACGAAAGCTTTCATCATCATATACAGATACATTGCATACATGACAATACAAGTTGCTGTCCTTGTCTTTTACCTCCTGTTATACAATTATTTTTAGGAATTAAAATACTAACATACATAATAATTTTTATAATATTAATGAAATATAGAGAACTACATACTGCAATGAACTAATACTGACTAGCACACCAATACTAACCTCATCTTCTGTAGGCTCAGCTGGATCATAGTCCTCTCCCCTACCCCTATTCCTATCTTTGTCTGAGAAGAAAAATTAAACATCTACTTAGTGGATTGTTAGCAAAAGTAACTGCTTCCACTTTTGAAATATGAAATATTTCAATATATTTAAGTCTAAAAGAAAAAACTTGGATACAATGTTGAAAGTTAAAAATGATTAGCAGGTCTGGTAATGATTCACTCCCACATTTAAACATCATTTGAACTATAAACAGTAGTCTCTGTTAATGCACAACTTTTCCTTTCTTCTGAAACTGGTACTTTGTCTACTAGTTGCCTTGTATGCAGGAAAAGTTTCTGGTCCACATTAGAGAACAAAATATAAGTCATAGCATTTGTAAATGCCGGTGAAGAAGTTCAAAGAAAAAAGAAAGAGTTGCATTTAACTTGAGCTAGACAAATATAAAAATGATTGCTTTTTGAGAAAATTCCATTAAGATGCACACAGGCGCACACACATGTAAAACTATCCATAAAATTTTGCCAGCAAACTATTGCTAGTGATTACACCAGTATTACAATTATTTTAAAAAAGAATAAGTAGTTTTTTTCGCTTTTAACAATGGACACCAACAAGGAGAGTCTTAAAAGGCCCATTAAATATTTCAAAAAAATCTTGTGTGGTGTTATTAAAAACAATGTGGTTAAAAGAACTTCTTTGTGAGGTTTTATTGGAGTTGAAAAAAGATTGGATGTATTTGTCATTTTAGTCTTTTCAAAAAAACCTAAAACATATTTTTTATTACTGAAATGTAAGTAAACATGGCATAACAAGATCATGTGGTTTAAAAAGTAAAATTTTATTATAGAAGATCTATCAAAAAGTTTTTGTACACCCAACCAATGTTTGCCTAAAGTAAAACTTAAGGCAAGGATATAATTTAGGCATGATGAAATAAAAAGAAATGTAGCCTTAAATGCAAAAATACATTTTAAAATTCTCTGCATTAGGAACTTTTAAAACAAATATTAAATTCTTAAATTATCAAATTTCAGGCTTTTCAGGCTTAAGTTTTTAAAATATTTTTTAAATGGCAGCTAAGAAGGCAAAGTTGATAAAATCACGATTTTAAACCATGTCAACAATAATGATGGAAAGATTTTCATCACCTCGTTGGATGTCCATTACATGCAATAGTAAATTTTGGAAAAAAAGCAACAAAATATATAAAAGCAAGCTTGGTGGCAAATATTTAAGATAGACATGAAAGACAACTCTTGGAGGTAAGCTTCCCAAAGTTTAATAATGATGAAATTTGAATACAATATTTGTTGCTTTCGTCCAAGCTATTTTCAACAAGCGTTGAAGATTATATTCATCCCACTTAAAAAGTGCTTATTGAAGGTTAGAAAAGGGCTGGAGGAATAAGGAAAGCAAAGTAGTTTAGAATAGAATAAAAAATTTTTAATGACAGCAGACAACCATCATTTGCTGCTGATGCTGACAATGTAGAAATTGCAGCAGTATTTCCGCAAGGAGAAAAGATTTTACCTGAATCCCAACGACTAGAATGATTTCTATCTCGACCCTCACCGCTCCTGTTGCTGTCGCGGCCTCGAGACCTATCCCGATCACCACCTCTCTGGAGATCCAAGGTTGAAGTGAAAAAAAAACAAGTGGTGGCGAATGAAGGGAAAGGTGATTTGAAGTAGTACAAACTTAGACAGCATACAAAATCTTAATCTCAACAGATGAGTATTTTGAATTGAAATGGGCCAATCTACACTGAAATGTACTAAAGTATTTTGAGGAGATTAAGATGGACTGAACAAATGGTGAAAAATGCATTTTATAAAGAACACTTTGAAATGCAACCTGAGAAGGTATTCAGCTGTACTATAAAATGAGCATGAATAAAAGCCTTGACAATCTGAGATGTGAAGTAACTACAAGCTACCGGTGGAACATTTGTAGCAGCTTCATATTACTACAATCAAAGTCAAGGACTTGTAAATACACCTGTTGATAACAAACCTACCTACAATATGGTTAATATCTTCAAAGTTCATCTTCAATAAATAACATACACACTTGAGAAGTATCCTTTAACTACTTAGCACTTAGTTCAAACTGTCCTTGAATTTGAACAGTTATTTAATGTTCCCAATTTTATTAAACGTACAATTATACTGGACCACATACATTAACAATTGAATTTAAAAAATAATTTATAAGCACATGTTTTTCAAAATATTTGAGTGTTGTTTCATAGAAATGCTAAATATTTATTACTGTCCAACTTATTTGAAAAAAAATTGTCAATTGTGAAATGAGTTTTTTTAAAGAATTATTTATGGCCAACAACACTTGCTTTGTAGCTATTGCCTTTATAAGGAAACTCTTACACTACGGCTGAAAGATGATGTAAACGTGTATTTTTTTATCCTGAGAAAATGTAATGCAGCTTAAAACTTTTAGAAACAAATAGGTAATCAATATTTGATTTTTGAAAAAAAAAAATTATTAGTGATTTTTTTTAGATCAAAGTGTAAACAAGCTAACATGTTATTGGCTCACCCCAGTAGAATCTCTGCGTCTTCTTTTGAAGTCTAAATCTCTGCCCTGTCCTCCTACACGTTTCCTATCATTCCTCATGCCTCCCATGTTGCCTCCCATACCTCCTCCATAACCCATTCCTTGCTGTTGCTGTAGAAACTGCATATTTCCCATGGCTCCAGCTAAGGCCCCTATTGCTCCTAGCTCACCACCTCCTCCACCAAAACCTCCAGCACCACCTAGAGCTGCTTGTTGATGCAGTAACTGTTGAGCAAGCATCAGCTGGTTCATTTGACTGTTGACCATAGGTTCATACATTGCATTACCAAAACCTGGTCCTTCCCCAAGGAGTCCATCACCTGCTACATTGGACAACACTAGAGTTAGCATTACTTTAAATCACACATTAGCAAATACTAAAACATTCAACAATTAAAACATTAGATAGACATCTTGACAGAATACTAAGTTAAGAATGTCTTAAGTCAATAGACGATGTAAAAAACATTTTTTTTTAAATAAATTTTCAAATGATGTTTAAAGTTAGTTTTCTCTCTATAGATTATTTTTCTTAAAAATAGATATATAGCAATAAACGTTTTATTCATGTTACACAATACCTCCATAGTTAGGACGTCTGTCTCTACCACCATGTCTTTGTCTATTCATGTTTTAAACTCTAGAAAGAAAATAAAAACATACACACTTATTCATTTTCTATTAGTGATACAACAACAGGATAGTTTAAATTGACATGCTAAAAAATGGTTAACAGCTTTGTGCGCTTTATGTGTGAACAATTTTGTTCATATAGGCACCTATGCATTTTGTATTTAACTGAACACTGGGAAAGTATTTTTAGTATTGCTCGCTAATCTGTAGGCGGGGCTCGGTTGCTAACAATATGGCGTCCACACCGGACGCATGACTTCCAATGATTTTTTCAGCAAAATTCCGATGACAGTAGAATTACTTTTCAAAATGTTTACCACTAGGAAAATGTCAGTCATTTCATGTTAAACCAACGGTCTTTAAAAAAAGACTCCATTTAAAAACTCAAACTAAGATCTAGATCTATAGAGAACCTACTTAAAGTAGAATTAGACTAGATCTAGTAGAAAAAGGTCATTCCTGTTTGTAGAGTGTGCTCTATTTGACAGTGACTTGAGTGACTCAGTAATCGTGGTTTTTTTTTTGGCCGCATTTGCGCGGTTCGCTCCGCGTTACGCGTAAGGCCGCCTTTGCGCAGTTCGCTCCGCGTTACGCTTAATATTTACCCTAGGTGGCACGCGATCTAAAAAAAAACGATTTTTTTTTTTTTTTGTGGTAACAATTTAATGTTGACATAGATCTAGATCGAGTTTAAGTGTATTTATATTATTTCAACACCTAAGAGTCTAGATATAGTACTTGTAAAAAAAAAGCAGTACAGTGTAGTGTCAAGGAAAGTTTGTGAGGTTAGATGGGCCAGATGATAGTCCTAGACTCTAGCAGCAACCTAGTTAAATCAAACTGTCCTTTAACCTTTAGGCCTAGCTAACTAGCATGCGTGATAGTAGATCTAAGTCTATATTATTTATCCTATGTGAACTCAAAAAAAATATTTCAATTTGCTTGAGGGGAGAGGGGGTGGGGGGGGGGGGGTGGGAGGAAGAGAGAAGTGAAGACAGACGATCTCGTGTGAACGTCTATGACGTATGCTTTAGGCCTGCTGAACTCAGTGACCTCGCGACCGTGGGCCGTGGTGGGATTTTCCCACTCACTGGATAGTAAACGTAAGGCAAGCAATCACGCCAGTGACGATGGTTGGAATTTTATTAAAAAAAAAGAATCATAGTCTACGTCATATTTTCAACATAAAAAAAAAATGTAAAAAAAAAAAAAAAAACTAGCTAACCCCGGGTTCGAACTCTGAACTTCGGTCTATGAACTTCAAACTACAGCTGACACACTGTTGACTCAACCACAGCGGATGTGGTGTAGAATTAAAAAATAAGCATTTTTACTTTCTCGTATATACGTAGTATAGAGAAAGTATTGTAATCGTGCAAAAAAAAAAAATCGAGATTTTTACAAATCTCGACGTTTTACACCTCACTGATACGGAAAAACATAATTTTGCAATCTTGTCCGTATGTCTGTGTGTGTGTGTGTCTGTGTGTGTGTCTGTCCGTGTGTAAACACGATAACTTGAGTACCGTTACAGCTAGGTTGATGAAATTTCATATATAAGTATTTTATCAAAATCGTAGATCCGTATCAACTTTTGAGCGATTTCCGATAACCGGAAGTGGTACTTTTCCTACTTTGAATTTTTTAAAAGCCTATAACTTGAGTACTATTTCAGATAGATAAATGAAATTTCACATGTAAGAAAAAGATCTAATTCTCTACCTTCTGTTAAATTTTGAGTAATTTCCGTTGACTGGAAGTAGTAATTTACGCTACTTCCGATTTCTCAAAAAACTAATGTAAATTTTTAAAGTACTAATAATATTGCGCACTATTATACGCGTTTTTATTCGGCGTTTGCTTGGTGCGCAATGTTTTTTTTTATGAGATTCTATTCTATTTTTAAAAGTTTAAGTATTTAAAATGGATTAAAAATCATAACTATATCCCCAGTTACCATCCCCTGTTGTTTTATATAAGAATATTCGAGAAAGTTTAGGGGAGATCACTACCGGTTTATTAATTTCAAGATGGCAAATCAAACCTGCGAGACGCGTAGTCTATTCTTTAGGGGCCACGCTTTGCGAGACGCGTAGTCACTTCGTTTTTTTTTCTCAAGGACATGTCCCTTCTAGATCTATATCATGTATTTAGACCTAGAAAGTATATAAATCTAGATAGTACTATTTAGATCTACAGTTGAAACTTGAAGAAAGCTCTGCAAGACAAAAAAATAAGATAAACACTTTCATTAAGTTACAATTATACAGCTGAGCAGGGCATAGGCTCCTAGTTCGTGAATTATATCTATTTTCTAGATCTATTATCTAGAATCTCTAGATCTCGAAGTCTTGACTAGAATAGATGTCTGGACATTGAATGCCTTGGCTTTGGTAAATTATTATTAGGCTAGGCAAAAACTAAACAGTGAGTGAGGGAAGCACTAAAAACTCCTTCCTTGAATCCTTAGTGTCTCTCAAGAGTCAACTCAAAGTGAAAGAGTGACTCAAGAGTTCAAGACTCAAGAACTCTATGCCTTACTAACTATAATTCTATACTAGATCTAAATCTGTTTAATTAGACAATAGAGGTTATTATCCAATGATATATTAATATGGGAAGTTAAGATGCATGCAGTTTATGTATTTTGATTGTTGTTAAATAAATGTAAGTATAATTGACTGGGAACCTTACATTAAATTTTCCTTCCTTGTTGTAACGTGTCTGCCTAGCCAAACCTTGACATGCGCAGTCTGTCCGACGATTAACGCAAAATGAAAGCCCTATAAACGAAACAATGTTTTTATATTTAAAGTTTAATATAGATCTCTAGCTTGTTAACGATTTATAACGCGTTGTTTTATTTTGTTATCTTCTAATGCTGAATTATGACAATGTTTCTGTTCCGTAAAATAGGGACAAAGGGATCGATAAAGTGTGATATCGCTATTGGTAGGTAGGTCTACACTTAGGTATAGGGGCAAGGCAGGATGCAGAAAGAGGCCTAGGCCTGCTAAGTCTAAGTAATAAGTAATAAGTTTTAAATTATCGTGTCTCATTAAAGACCTCCAGTATGTCTACAATGATAATGAATCATCTTTGAATTCACATTTTAATCTATTTATTTTAAATAACATTAACATTAGGCCTACAAATATCAATATAAAAGGAAACATGCATCCGTATCTTTCACGAAGTAACGGTGTTAAATTTAATTTATTGCTTAAAGATAGTAGAAGCTCATTCTGTAATTGTTATTGTTTTACTAATTTTTATGTAAAACACTAAGAATTTCTTCCAGCCTACCAGCAGCCTCAAAATGTCGCCGAAGCATGAATTGTCAAAAGAGCCCCCCTATCTATAGACTATATATTTTATTAGCGGCCGCTCTTCCCCCCCCCCCCCCCTGTTAACATTTCCTGGACAGTGGAGCCTTTTACGGGAAAATAAAATTTAATAAAACCTTCAAAAGGAAGTATTGATGAAAAACTAAAAAATAATGAAGGTGAAATTGATGCGCCTATCCCGTGGTCGGCTTCTGTAGTTTTCTAAAATCTAAGGTAAACGAAATCGCCTATTTTAAAATGTTTTTTTTTTTTTTTTTGTTGCTGCCTACCTCATTGTTGGTTAACAAGGGCGCTCATCTTAGGTCGGCGTTTGTACCCCATATGCCTACTATATACATTGTTGGTTAATGAAGGTGCTCCTCCTTGGATAAATCGCTGATGGCAATGATGATAGTTTTAGTTATAGGCCCTATAAACTATAAATAGTGGTGCATTATTATATATTTAATGAAAATAGCTTTATTTTCTTCTTTTTGTGCATATATAAAAAGCTTGTTATTATAGCTTTAGATATAATACATTGCTTTTAATTATTTAATTTACTTTTTTTCGGAGACCACGTATCACTACTTTACTCAGCAAGACTTTGTAGTATGCGTAGGCCCCTATGTAAAAAGAATAGTTTTGTGTGCATCAAATTATTTAGGCAACTTCTAAATATATTGATCTGGTAACAGCAAATACTTTTCTAAGAATTGTAGATCTAGCTCTGTCTATCTACATTTAAATTTTGCATAGGTCGACTAAAGTAGATTCTTCTAGATCTAGTCTGGATTAATTACCTATTTATTCTGCGAAAGCACCTTCTTTTAATATTTTTTGTTAAGTCTGTCGGTCAGGGGCTTTCCTTTTCTCACTTTTCTGTATTTATAAATATAATAGTATAGAATCAGTTTCAGATGCGTTGGCGGGAATGGTGCCGGGTTGGCGTTTATCTCAGCTGTTCATTGTTGTTACTTTCATTCATTGAGATTGTAGATAGATCTAGAATCTAGACTAGTAGTAAGTAGATACTACTAGTAACCTAGATAGATTCTGATAGATCTATATCTAGCTGTACGTTTAGATACGAATTTATTTTAACACATTGATATTACCACTTTAGGCATACACCTGAAATTATTACTAAGAAATGACTAAGATAATACAAAATCTGTAGTTTTAGACACTATTAGTATTATTCATAATTTTATAGTATACTTACTTATTAATTATTCTAGATCTATCTTATCTATCTAGTTAAGTAGTATCTAAAATGAATTTAATTAAACAGGAGTCTTTCTGAAAGACACTGATCAGCTAACCCCATTGTAATTGTTGTTAAGGTTACGAGAATGTGGGAGAGAGTGAATTAATGAATATGCATAGATATTTGACAAAGGTTCAGATTTTAGCAGATTTAGATAAAATTTAAAATCAATCTGATCTTACTGTTTTTAGCAGGCCTAGGCCTAAAAATAATATATATTTAAAATAAACAGCCCATCATATCCATATATATATAATTCTCTTCTTGGAGACGTTAGAAAACACCAAACTGTTTGCGCACCTTGCAGTCCCCTCTCTTCCTCTCTAGGAAGTCCGGTGAGCTGTGGTTCACGCTGTGTTTACAATCGTAGAGCCGGGTTTAGTGACGGCTATTAGGGGCAGATAATGTAGTTTGAAACGATTTTAAACTTAGGGGAGGTAACAAAGAGGAGTTTGCTTTCATGGGGGGTAGGGGTTGGGGGAAAGGAGAGGGTATCGTCCTTAACGATAGTGTTTTAAAGCAAATATTTTCAGTGGCAGCATTGGTACTGTCGAATTCACAAATTATGAATTACTGAAAAGTAGAAAATAAAACAACTAAATAGCGGCGTATGATACGCTGTGGGTCGGCTCGTATAATATAATATAACAACAGTCAGTAACAGTAACACACAATCATGGGTCATCTCTTAATTAACTATTCTGGATGAAAAAACTGGATGACAGCACAGCATGACACCATCTAAAGAGGATCGTCAAAACAAAAATTAGTGAATTTTAATGAAAAAGTCTGCTTTTCCCAATTAGTTTAATAATAACAAAGGTGATGATAATACTGATAATACCAAAGTTATATGCATTATACATAATTTGGAACAGCAAGACACTATCTGTGAAGGGGGTGACACCAAATTGCCAATAGTTTAATTACATAGTTAACGGTGGTGGTGATAGCACCAGGTGTCACCAGATCTAGTTATGCCACTGTTTTATAGGCTAGTTATACTTATATAGTTGTATAGCTAAACCTGCCACATCTGATTTTATCTTTTGAATTAATGATCCAATTTTGCACTAAAAAAAAACTAAGGTAACTATGCAGACTCATTATTTAAACTAAAACTTTGTTTCAGAGGATGTCATATTTGATGTAACCTTGTTGATCTAGATCTATTAGAGTACTCACACTTTGTTACAGAGGATGTCATATTTGATGTAACCTTGTCAATCTAGATCTATTAGAGTACTCACACTTTGTTACAGAGGATGTCATATTTGATGTAACCTTGTCAATCTAGATCTATTAGAGTACTCACACTTTGTTACAGAGGATGTCATATTTGATGTAACCTTGTCAATCTAGATCTATTAGAGTACTCACACGTCATATTTGATGTAACCTTGTCAATCTAGATCTATTAGAGTACTCACACTTTGTTACAGAGGATGTCATATTTGATGTAACCTTGTCAATCTAGATCTATTAGAGTACTCACCCTTTGTTTCAGAGGACGTCATATTTGATGTAACCTTGTCAATCTAGATCTATTAGAGTACTCACACTGAAGTCAATGATGCAACAAGAGGGATACTGAAGACGCAAAATATATTTTGACTCCGGAAACCATTCCACTTCTATATCAGCAAGTACGGCTTTTTATAGTTGGTAGAAATTTTTGCAAATATACATGAGAATTTATTTTTGGGATGGTTTTAATTGCATTTTTGTAGCCTTATGTTATGGATAAGCTCTACCTATCAATATGCATTTTGCAAAAGGTAGGTCTATATGTATATTATAATGAGATATAGCTGAGTCATACCAAAATGTCTTCATCTTGTGAAACAGGTGGAAATAACTAGTTCTGGGAATGAATTTCAGACTTGAGTAATTAGGCCAAGTTAGTATGTCAGTAACTTGAATTTAGTAGAGGCAGCTTGGTATCATGCTGACCACTGTAATCTAAATCTTTTTTGCTGAGGTCGTAAAATAGGTGAACTCTACTTAGTACTCATGGACCACCAGGTTCAAAAGGGTAACTTAAATAGTATCTCTCAGCCAAAATTGACTTGGAAATTTCTACTATACTTATACACTACCATCAGCTGTATATGAAAACTTTGCATTTTCAGTGGGTGATGGAGATAATGAGATAAATCTTGGAAATAAAAGAATTGCAAAGCTTGCTTATTATGGATCAGGTAACTATAACAACCCATTTGTCATATGTAAGATGTACCACTAAAGAAATACTTGCGCTTAGTTTCAAATTCTTTGGTCTACATAATCATTATTATTTTTTTAAATAGCTATTGATAAAATTAAATAATCCTTTTTAAAGAAACATTTTTGGGAATGAAAAATGTAGCGAGTCCTGTTAGGTAGCTGGTTATTTTAAAGATGTAGTGCCATGTTTTTGTCCTAGAGAAATTGAAGCTATAGCGAATACATTTATATTTTGATTATATTGCAGTTAATATTGAAGAAGAAACCGGAAAATTAAAGCAGATTTCATTAAATAAGTAAGTTATTAATATTTGACATAAAAAAAAGGGAGTAAAATAGATTAGTAGATTTAATTCTACAAAATAAAATTAAATAGGCTTTTATCAAATGTGACCTTCATTCAATTAAGAAATGTGCAATGTAACATTTACTAGCTGAATTAGCATAAGTTAATTAATATTATTTTCTACTTAATTATGTTACAGTTTAAAATCATGTAAAATAATGCTTGTTAATAATACAATATTTCATTTATTTTAATGTTGATAGCCCTTATGAGTATTCACCAAAGGAACAAAGTTGTACTGTGCAAAACATAGATATAAAAAAAGATAAAGAGGCGCAAATCAATGCTGTTATAAAGTTTATTGAATATGCAAGAGATAGCAAAACCCCACGAGGTCTAGTTTTGAACCCAGCTAAGGTAAATGTCTTACCTACACCTCTGATTTATTAAAACTTTCATTTATGTTTTTTATTGTTTTAGCAAACAAAACATCCAATTAGTAATTTTAAAATCACTGAATAGCCCATGAATACATAGTATGTATTGTTGGTTTTTTTTTTAGCCTATAGTTGATTTAAATATATACCTAATGATTTCTTTGACCTGTGTGTGACCTAATGAATTCTTTTACCTTTGTTTGACCTAATGAATTCTTTTACCTGTGTGTGACCTAATGAATTCTTTTACCTGTGTGTGACCTAATGAATTCTTTTACCTGTGATTGCTTGAAGGTGTCTAAAGTTACCTGCAATAAAAGTCCAGAAAGCTCAGACTTTTTACAAAGTGGCCGGAGCTTAGGAAAAGGTGCAAATGCTGAGGTTTTTCTGGTCAAAGACAGGCAGACTGGTCAAGACGTGGCATTAAAAACGGTAAAATAGAAATTTTGTCTTTGGTTGGTGGACTTTTTTTTTACAGACCTGGAAGTAAATAATTGTATGGACTCGTTAATTAAACTACAAAGTTGTTTTTTTATTTGTGGTATTATATTGTTTTAATGTCTGTTGTCTTGTGTATATGTTTTAATGTCTGTTGTCTTGTGTAGATGTTTTAATGTCTGTTGTCTTGCTTGTGTAGATGTTTGAATGTCTGTTGTCTTGTGTAGATGTTTTAATGTCTGTTGTCTTGTGTAGATGTTTGAATGTCTGTTGTCTTGCTTGTGTAGATGTTTTAATGTCTGTTGTCTTGCTTGTGTAGATGTTTTAATGTCTGTTGTCTTGTGTAGATGTTTTAATGTCTGTTGTCTTGCTTGTGTAGATGTTTTAATGTCTGTTGTCTTGCTTGTGTAGATGTTTGAATGTCTGTTGTCTTGTGTAGATGTTTGAATGTCTGTTGTCTTGTGTAGATGTTTTAATGTCTGTTGTCTTGTGTAGATGTTTGAATGTCTGTTGTCTTGTGTAGATGTTTGAATGTCTGTTGTCTTGTGTAGATGTTTGAATGTCTGTTGTCTTGTGTAGATGTTTGAATGTCTGTTGTCTTGTGTAGATGTTTGAATGTCTGTTGTCTTGTGTAGATGTTTTAATGTCTGTTGTCTTGTGTAGATGTTTTAATGTCTGTTGTCTTGTGTAGATGTTTTAATGTCTGTTGTCTTGTGTAGATGTTTGAATGTCTGTTGTCTTGTGTAGATGTTTGAATGTCTGTTGTCTTGTGTAAATGTTTGAATGTCTGTTGTCTTGCGTAGATGTTTTAATGTCTGTTGTCTTGTGTAGATGTTTTAATGTCTGTTGTCTTGTGTAGATGTTTGAATGTCTGTTGTCTTGCGTAGATGTTTTAATGTCTGTTGTCTTGTGTAGATGTTTTAATGTCTGTTGTCTTGTGTAGATGTTTTAATGTCTGTTGTCTTGCTTGTGTAGATGTTTGAATGTCTGTTGTCTTGTGTAGATGTTTGAATGTCTGTTGTCTTGTGTAGATGTTTGAATGTCTGTTGTCTTGTGTAGATGTTTTAATGTCTGTTGTCTTGCTTGTGTAGATGTTTGAATGTCTGTTGTCTTGTGTATATGTTTTAATGTCTGTTGTCTTGTGTAGATGCTTTAATGTCTGTTGTCTTGCTTGTGTAGATGTTTTAATGTCTGTTGTCTTGCTTGTGTAGATGTTTTAATGTCTGTTGTCTTGTGTATATGTTTTAATGTCTGTTGTCTTGTGTAGATGTTTTAATGTCTGTTGTCTTGCTTGTGTAGATGTTTGAATGTCTGTTGTCTTGCTTGTGTAGATGTTTGAATGTCTGTTGTCTTGTGTAGATGTTTGAATGTCTGTTGTCTTGCTTGTGTAGATGTTTTAATGTCTGTTGTCTTGCTTGTGTAGATGTTTGAATGTCTGTTGTCTTGTGTAGATGTTTGAATGTCTGTTGTCTTGTGTAGATGTTTGAATGTCTGTTGTCTTGTGTAGATGTTTGAATGTCTGTTGTCTTGCTTGTGTAGATGTTTTAATGTCTGTTGTCTTGCTTGTGTAGATGTTTTAATGTCTGTTGTCTTGCTTGTGTAGATGTTTGAATGTCTGTTGTCTTGTGTAGATGTTTGAATGTCTGTTGTCTTGTGTATATGTTTTAATGTCTGTTGTCTTGTGTAGATGTTTGAATGTCTGTTGTCTTGTGTAGATGTTTGAATGTCTGTTGTCTTGTGTAGATGTTTGAATGTCTGTTGTCTTGTGTAGATGTTTTAATGTCTGTTGTCTTGCTTGTGTAGATGTTTTAATGTCTGTTGTCTTGCTTGTGTAGATGTTTGAATGTCTGTTGTCTTGTGTAGATGTTTTAATGTCTGTTGTCTTGTGTAGATGTTTTAATGTCTGTTGTCTTGTGTAGATGTTTTAATGTCTGTTGTCTTGTGTAGATGTTTTAATGTCTGTTGTCTTGTGTAGATGTTTGAATGTCTGTTGTCTTGTGTAGATGTTTTAATGTCTGTTGTCTTGCTTGTGTAGATGTTTGAATGTCTGTTGTCTTGTGTAGATGTTTTAATGTCTGTTGTCTTGTGTAGATGTTTTAATGTCTGTTGTCTTGTGTAGATGTTTTAATGTCTGTTGTCTTGTGTAGATGTTTGAATGTCTGTTGTCTTGTGTAGATGTTTGAATGTCTGTTGTCTTGTGTAGATGTTTGAATGTCTGTTGTCTTGTGTAGATGTTTGAATGTCTGTTGTCTTGTGTAGATGTTTGAATGTCTGTTGTCTTGTGTAGATGTTTGAATGTCTGTTGTCTTGTGTAGATGTTTGAATGTCTGTTGTCTTGTGTAGATGTTTGAATGTCTGTTGTCTTGTGTAGATGTTTGAATGTCTGTTGTCTTGTGTAGATGTTTTAATGTCTGTTGTCTTGTGTAGATGTTTGAATGTCTGTTGTCTTGTGTAGATGTTTTAATGTCTGTTGTCTTGTGTAGATGTTTTAATGTCTGTTGTCTTGTGTAGATGTTTTAATGTCTGTTGTCTTGTGTAGATGTTTTAATGTCTGTTGTCTTGCTTGTGTAGATGTTTTAATGTCTGTTGTCTTGTGTAGATGTTTTAATGTCTGTTGTCTTGCTTGTGTAGATGTTTGAATGTCTGTTGTCTTGTGTAGATGTTTGAATGTCTGTTGTCTTGTGTAGATGTTTGAATGTCTGTTGTCTTGCTTGTGTAGATGTTTGAATGTCTGTTGTCTTGTGTAGATGTTTGAATGTCTGTTGTCTTGTGTAGATGTTTGAATGTCTGTTGTCTTGCTTGTGTAGATGTTTGAATGTCTGTTGTCTTGTGTAGATGTTTTAATGTCTGTTGTCTTGTGTAGATGTTTGAATGTCTGTTGTCTTGTGTAGATGTTTGAATGTCTGTTGTCTTGTGTAGATGTTTGAATGTCTGTTGTCTTGCTTGTGTAGATGTTTGAATGTCTGTTGTCTTGTGTAGATGTTTTAATGTCTGTTGTCTTGTCTAGATCATGTTGGCCAGGTTCCAAGGAGATGAAATCCGTGCGTGGATCCACCTGGGGGAGGAGGGGATAGCTCCTGAGTTGTATCATTTTGAGATGGTCAACAACAAGGTTGTTATGACCATGGAGCCCATCACAGGTGACTACATTTCTTCTTGCCTACAGTAGCTTTGTTTAGGGCAGCCAGTGGTAGACCCAAACTTTTTGTTGTAGGCATGACACTCCAGGAAGTGATAGACAAGAACCTGCTTGAGGATCCGTTAGATGCAGCAGCTTTCTCCTACGTTGTTCTGGAAGGTCTGTTGAATGCCTTTGAGAAGCTGAAATCTAAGGGCTACACTCATGGGGACATGCACGGTAACTTGGGTTTCAAATATTATCTGCTGTCACTACTTTGATACTAGTGTGATCTACTACACTAGTGTGATCTGTCACTACTTTGATACAGTAACCAGTTCAAACTATTGCAGCGGGGAACGTAATGGTGGATCAGGATCTGTCAGTTAAAATCTTGGACTTTGGACTGGCCAGGAAGTTACTACATGATCCCAATCAAGACAGCCAATGTGTCAAGAATGACGTCGTAGGAATTATAAGCATGTTCTGTGCATTATATTCAGGCTTTGATGAAAAAAGTTTAAACTACTGGCAGAAACTACTGGAGGAAAATGATTTTGAATCTGTAAATATTTTTTTTACGTACAAAAATAATTTCCTGTTTAAATTGCACTTACATGGTTAAAAATGTCTAAGCTTTTATTTATTATCTGTAATTAAAAAATTAATCTTTAAGTACTGAAACAATTCCTGTAAAAACAATATTTTGTCATTTATCAGTTGGTTTTAATCTGGCATTAAAATGTTGTACAGCTGTCTTATATCAAGTGATGTACACACATCAAGTGATGTTGTACACACATCAAGTGATGTTGTACAGCTGTCACACATCAAGTGATGTTGTACAGCTGTCACACATCAAGTGATGTTGTACAGCTGTCACACATCAAGTGATGTTGTACACACATCAAGTGATGTTGAAAAAATTCTCTTGCAGCTAAGTGAATACATGACACATTTACCCATGACCCAGCGACAAGAGATGTTTGCGATAATGAGCAAACTTTTTGACACTGTCAGAGACAAGAGACAAGAAAATTTTGGAGACCCAACTCGTGTGAGAGATCATTTTCCTGAAGGTGGGTCAAGGTCACTTTACTCAAGCTGAGCTAGAAATAAAGATGTCTGCCATTGCGTTATAATTTCCAATTCTCCATTTGAGCCTACTTGGTGCTACTGTATGAAGAAAATAGTATATTTCCACCTATACCAGTGTATGAGTTGATAGCTTATCTTGTAATGCCAAAATACTATGATTGGGTAATGAAAACATTGGGTAATGAAAACATTGGGTAATGAAAACATTGGGTAATGAAAACATTGGGTAATGAAAACATTGGGTAATGAAAACATTGATTTCAGGATTTCAAGAAGCTCGCAAAAAGCTGGCAGTCTTGTTGTTCCCAGAGAGGTATCAGCCCAAGGTAATGTACATCCCTAGTTGTTGATATCTCAGGGTAAATGTAACTTAGTGTAGAGATAATGTACATCCCTAGTTGTTGATATCTCAGGGTAAATGTAACTTAGTGTAGAGATAATGTACATCCCTAGTTGTTGATATCTCAGGGTAAATGTAACTTAGTGTAGAGATAATGTACATCCCTAGTTGATGATATTTCAGGCTAAATGTAACTTAGTGTAGAGATAATGTACATCCCTAGTTGATGATATTTCAGGGTAAATGTAACTTAGTGTAGAGATAATGTATGTCCCTAGTTGATGATATTTCAGGCTGAATGTAACTTAGTGTAGAGTTAATGTACTTCCCTAGTTGATGAAATTTCAGGCTAAATGTAACTTACGGTAGAGATAATGTACGTCCCTAGTTGATGATATTTCAGGCTAAATGTAACTTAGTGTAGAGTTAATGTACGTCCCTAGTTGATGATATTTCAGGCTAGATCCACCTGTAACTTAGTGTAGAGTTAATGTACGTCCCTAGTTGATGATATTTCAGGCTAAATGTAACTTAGTGTAGAGATAATGTACATCCCTAGTTGATGATATCTCAGGCTAAATGTAACTTAGTGTAGAGATAATGTACGTCCCTAGCTGTTGATATCTCAGGCTAAATGTAACTTAGTGTAGAGATAATGTACATCCCTAGTTGATGATATCTCAGGCTAAATGTAACTTAGTGTAGAGATAATGTACGTCCCTAGCTGTTGATATCTCAGGCTAAATGTAACTTAGTGTAGAGATAATGTACATCCCTAGTTGATGATATCTCAGGCTAAATGTAACTTAGTGTAGAGATAATGTACATCCCTAGTTGATGATATCTCAGGCTAAATGTAACTTAGTGTAGAGATAATGTACATCCCTAGTTGATGATATCTCAGGCTAAATGTAACTTAGTGTAGAGATAATGTACGTCCCTAGCTGTTGATATCTCAGGCTAAATGTAACTTAGTGTAGAGATAATGTACATCCCTAGTTGATGATATCTCAGGCTAAATGTAACTTAGTGTAGAGATAATGTACATCCCTAGTTGATGATATCTCAGGCTAAATGTAACTTAGTGTAGAGATAATGTACGTCCCTAGCTGTTGATATCTCAGGCTAAATGTAACTTAGTGTAGAGATAATGTATATCCCTAGTTGATGATATTTCAGGCTGAATGTAACTTAGTGTAGAGTTAATGTACGTCCCTAGTTGATGATATTTCAGGCTGAATGTAACTTAGTGTAGAGTTAATGTACGTCCCAAGCTGTTGATATATCAGGCTAAATGTAACTTAGTGTAGAGATAATGTACGTCCCTAGTTGTTGATATCTCAGGCTAAATGTAACTTAGTGTAGAGATAATGTACGTCCCTAGTTGATGATATATCAGGCTAGTTCCATCTCTACTTAGTGTAGAGATAATGTACGTCCCTAGCTGTTGATATCTCAAGCTAAATGTAACTTAGTGTAGAGATAATGTACGTCCCTAGCTGTTGATATCTCAGGCTAGTTCCATCTGTAACCTAGTGTAGAGATAATGTACGTCCCTAGCTGTTGATATATCAGGCTAGTTCCATCTGTAACCTAGTGTAAAGATAAAATTCTTTTATTAATGGAAACCATTGTCCACAAATTGACCTCTAGGAGCAGGCAGACAGTGTGATGACCTTTGAGTCTGACTATACGGGCAGCATATGGGACAACCCTGAGCTGGATCTGTACACCAAACTTATCACAGATGAGGAGCTGACCAAACTGGCAGGCTTTACCATTCTGTGATGGACTGGCAGGCTTTTCCATTCTGTGATTGTAGTCATGTTGGCACAGAAATTTGTTAGATACAATCTGGCATTAGTTTAATTTATGTGGCCAGGTACATCAGCTAATAATCTACTTGTTTTGTCCACTGTGGCCTTAGCTTTACTACTCTTTATATGGTTTTCTCTCTTGGTGCTGCCCCATATATGTCATGACAAGTCTCTCACTGGGGAGTCATGACACAGGGGAGTCATGACAAGTCTCTCACTGGGGAGTCATGACAAGTCTCACTGGGGAGTCATGACAAGTCTCACTGGGGAGTCATGACAAGTCTCACTGGGGAGTCATGACACTGGGGAGTCATGACAAGCCTCTCACAGGGGAGTCATGACACTGGGGAGTCATGACAAGTCTCTCACTGGGGAGTCATGACAAGTCTCTCACTGGGGAGTCATGACAAGTCTCTCACAGGGGAGTCATGACAAGTCTCTCACTGGGGAGTCATGACAAGTCTCTCACTGGGGAGTCATGACACTGGGGAGTCATGACAAGTCTCTCACTGGGGAGTCATGACAAGTCTCTCACAGGGGAGTCATGACACTGGGGAGTCATGACAAGTCTCTCACTGGGGAGTCATGACAAGTCTCTCACAGGGGAGTCATGACACTGGGGAGTCATGACAAGTCTCTCACTGGGGAGACATGACAAGTCTCACTGGGGAGTCATGACAAGTCTCTCACTGGGGAGTCATGACAAGTCTCTCACTGGGGAGTCATGACAAGTCTCTCACTGGGGAGTCATGACAAGTCTCACTGGGGAGTCATGACAAGTCTCACTGGGGAGTCATGACAAGTCTCACTGGGGAGTCATGACAAGTCTCACTGGGGAGACATGACAAGTCTCATTGGGGAGTCATGACAAGTCTCACTGGGGAGTCATGACAAGTCTCACTGGGGAGACATGACAAGTCTCACTGGGGAGTCATGACAAGTCTCACTGGGGAGTCATGACAAGTCTCACTGGGGAGTCATGACAAGTCTCTCACTGGGGAGTCATGACAAGCCTCTCACTGGGGAGTCATGACAAGTCTCTCACTGGGGAGTCATGACAAGTCTCTCACTGGGGAGTCATGACAAGTCTCACTGGGGAGACATGACAAGTCTCACTGGGGAGTCATGACAAGTCTCACTGGGGAGACATGACACTGGTGGGAGTCATGACACTGGTGGGAGTCATGACAAGTCTCACTGGGGAGTCATGACAAGTCTCTCACTGGGGAGTCATGACAAGTCTCTCATTGGGGAGTCATGACAAGTCTCACTGGGGAGTCATGACACTGGTGGGAGTCATGACACTGGTGGGAGTCATGACAAGTCTCACTGGGGAGTCATGACAAGTCTCTCACTGGGGAGTCATGACAAGTCTCTCACTGGGGAGTCATAACAAGCCTCTCACTGGGGAGTCATGACACTGGTGGGAGTCATGACAAGTCTCACTGGGGAGTCATGACAAGTCTCACTGGGGAGACATGACAAGTCTCTCACTGGGGAGTCATGACAAGTCTCACTGGGGAGACATGACAAGTCTCACTGGGGAGTCATGACAAGTCTCTCACTGGGGAGTCATGACAAGTCTCACTGGGGAGTCATGACAAGTCTCTCACTGGGGAGTCATGACAAGTCTCACTGGGGAGACATGACAAGTCTCTCACTGGGGAGTCATGACAAGTCTCTCACTGGGGAGTCATGACAAGTCTCACTGGGGAGTCATGACAAGTCTCTCACTGGGGAGTCATGACAAGTCTCACTGGGGAGACATGACAAGTCTCTCACTGGGGAGTCATGACAAGTCTCTCACTGGGGAGTCATGACAAGTCTCACTGGGGAGTCATGACAAGTCTCTCACTGGGGAGTCATGACAAGTCTCACTGGGGAGTCATGACAAGTCTCTCACTGGGGAGTCATGACAAGTCTCACTGGGGAGACATGACAAGTCTCTCACTGGGGAGTCATGACAAGTCTCTCACTGGGGAGTCATGACAAGTCTCACTGGGGAGACATGACAAGTCTCACTGGGGAGTCATGACAAGCCTCTCACTGGGGAGTCCTGACAAGTCTCTCACTGGGGAGTCCTGACAAGTCTCTCACTGGGGAGTCCTGACAAGCCTCTCACTGGGGAGTCATGACAAGTCTCTCACTGGGGAGTCATGACAAGTCTCTCACTGGGGAGTCATGACAAGTCTCTCACTGGGGAGTCATGACAAGTCTCTCACTGGGGAGTCATGACACTGGGGAGTCATAACAAGTCTCACTGGGGAGACATGACAAGTCTCACTGGGGAGACATGACAAGTCTCACTGGGGAGTCATGACAAGCCTCTCACTGGGGAGTCATGACAAGTCTCTCACTGGGGAGTCATGACAAGTCTCTCACTGGGGAGTCATGACACTGGGGAGTCATGACAAGTCTCACTGGGGAGACATGACAAGTCTCACTGGGGAGACATGACAAGTCTCACTGGGGAGTCATGACAAGCCTCACTGGGGAGTCATGACAAGTCTCTCACTGGGGAGTCATGACAAGTCTCTCACTGGGGAGTCATGACAAGTCTCTCACTGGGGAGTCATGACAAGTCTCTCACTGGGGAGTCATGACAAGTCTCACTGGGGAGACATGACAAGTCTCACTGGGGAGTCATGACAAGTCTCGCTGGGGAGACATGACAAGTCTCACTGGGGAGTCATGACAAGTCTCTCACTGGGGAGTCCTGACAAGCCTCTCACTGGGGAGTCATGACAAGTCTCTCACTGGGGAGTCATGACAAGTCTCTCACTGGGGAGTCATGACAAGTCTCTCACTGGGGAGTCATGACAAGTCTCTCACTGGGGAGTCATGACACTGGGGAGTCATAACAAGTCTCACTGGGGAGACATGACAAGTCTCACTGGGGAGACATGACAAGTCTCACTGGGGAGTCATGACAAGCCTCTCACTGGGGAGTCATGACAAGTCTCTCACTGGGGAGTCATGACAAGTCTCTCACTGGGGAGTCATGACACTGGGGAGTCATGACAAGTCTCACTGGGGAGACATGACAAGTCTCACTGGGGAGACATGACAAGTCTCACTGGGGAGTCATGACAAGCCTCACTGGGGAGTCATGACAAGTCTCTCACTGGGGAGTCATGACAAGTCTCTCACTGGGGAGTCATGACAAGTCTCTCACTGGGGAGTCATGACAAGTCTCTCACTGGGGAGTCATGACAAGTCTCACTGGGGAGACATGACAAGTCTCACTGGGGAGTCATGACAAGTCTCGCTGGGGAGACATGACAAGTCTCATTGGGGAGTCATGACAAGTCTCACTGGGGAGTCATGACACTGGTGGGAGTCATGACAAGTCTCACTGGGGAGTCATGACAAGTCTCTCACTGGGGAGTCATGACAAGTCTCTCACTGGGGAGTCATAACAAGCCTCTCACTGGGGAGTCATGACACTGGTGGGAGTCATGACAAGTCTCACTGGGGAGTCATGACAAGTTTCACTGGGGAGACATGACAAGTCTCTCACTGGGGAGTCATGACAAGTCTCTCACTGGGGAGTCATGACAAGTCTCTCACTGGGGAGTCATGACAAGTCTCTCACTGGGGAGTCATGACAAGTCTCACTGGGGAGTCATGACAAGCCTCTCACTGGGGAGTCATGACAAGTCTCTCACTGGGGAGTCATGACAAGTCTCTCACTGGGGAGTCATGACAAGTCTCACTGGGGAGACATGACAAGTCTCACTGGGGAGTCATGACAAGTCTCTCACTGGGGAGTCATGACAAGTCTCTCACTGGGGAGTCATGACACTGGGGAGTCATAACAAGTCTCACTGGGGAGACATGACAAGTCTCACTGGGGAGACATGACAAGTCTCACTGGGGAGTCATGACAAGCCTCTCACTGGGGAGTCATGACAAGTCTCTCACTGGGGAGTCATGACAAGTCTCTCACTGGGGAGTCATGACACTGGGGAGTCATGACAAGTCTCACTGGGGAGACATGACAAGTCTCACTGGGGAGACATGACAAGTCTCACTGGGGAGTCATGACAAGCCTCTCACTGGGGAGTCATGACAAGTCTCACTGGGGAGACATGACAAGTCTCTCACAGGGGAGTCATGACAAGTCTCTCATTGGGGAGTCATGACAAGTCTCTCACTGGGGAGTCATAACAAGCCTCTCACTGGGGAGTCATGACACTGGTGGGAGTCATGACAAGTCTCATTGGGGAGTCATGACAAGTCTCTCACTGGGGAGTCATGACAAGTCTCACTGGGGAGTCATGACAAGTCTCTCATAGGGGAGTCATGACACTGGTGGGAGTCATGACAAGTCTCACTGGGGAGTCATGACAAGTCTCATTGGGGAGTCATAACAAGCCTCTCACTGGGGAGTCATAACAAGCCTCTCACTGGGGAGTCATGACAAGTCTCTCACTGGGGAGTCATGACAAGTCTCACTGGGGAGTCATGACAAGTCTCACTGGGGAGACATGACAAGTCTCTCACTGGGGAGTCATGACAAGTCTCTCACTGGGGAGTCATGACAAGTCTCTCACTGGGGAGTCATGACAAGTCTCACTGGGGAGTCATGACACTGGGGAGTCATGACAAGTCTCTCACTGGGGAGTCATGACAAGCCTCTCACTGGGGAGTCATGACAAGTCTCACTGGGGAGTCATGACAAGTCTCTCACTGAGGAGTCATGACAAGTCTCTCAATGGGGAGTCATGACAAGTCTCTCACTGGGGAGTCATGACAAGTCTCTCACTGGGGAGTCATGACACTGGGGAGTCATAACAAGCCTCTAATTGTCAACTAGCAACAAACCACAAGTGGGCCAACTATTGTTCTAGGCTAACCAAGTGCAATACTTTTTGTTTACAATTGTTGTGTAGTCTGTTGTTTGTATAGCAATATAGGTTTTGTTTTTAAACTGCTCACTTTGTGTGTTACTAACTAATGCAACTGTTTTATAAGCACAACTATGTACCTGAATCTCATAAGATCACGACAGACCGGAAGTTTTATTTCTTTTTTAAAATGTGAGTTTCGGTCTATTTTATATATAAATCATTTTTTTAAACTATGAATGGAGCAATTGAATTTTGTATTTCTTTAGAAATATTGTTCATGCATGGGGAATTATTTTTTTTTTACCTTACTAAACTAATAATTGCATTATTAGGTGGTACATAAATAACAATATGTAGATCATTTTTT